TCTCGCTTCAGCGCCGCGCACGTTCGGTTCAAACGTTTGCAAGGGTTTCATGGATTGAGGGCGTGCCGTTTTCAACGTGTGGCTCTTGCTTCAGCGCCGCGAGCATTTTTTGTTTAAACAAAAACATGTTTTTGTGTAAGCAAAAGGCGGACCACTTTCAAACTTTGGTTTTCTTCTTAGCGCTGCGCGCATTGGTTTTAATATTCCCCAATAATTTAACGGATTGAGGCCAGCTCCGTTTCACAATGTGGGTCTCGCATTAGCGCCGTGCAAATTCGTTTCCAACAAGTTACGCGAGTTTCATTGCTTGTTTGGCTTGACGTGCCAGAAGTGGTATTTTAGAGTGATTAAGGAATGCCAGGGAGTTAAAGCACAAGGAATGGTGTTCTGGTGCTGTTCAGGATCGTCAAGACGCAACAGTCAGGTTGACTCGTGGTGTTGAAGTTCCAAGAATGGTGGCATGGCACGCATCAGGGTTTTCATTGTCCCCCATCGGGGCACTTCCTCCAGAGGAAGTGAACCCGTGCTGGGGTCTAGTAGGAGGGAGCTTGGAGGGAATGTGTGTTCCAACATCGTTGATGTCTCTTGGATTCGCACTGGTCCTCCTCCTCCTCCTCCGCCTCCTCCTCCTCCTCCTCCTTCTCTCACTCACTTGACTCTTTTCTTCCTCCTCCTTCTCCTCCTACTCCTCCTCCCCCTCCTCCTCCTCCTCATCCTCCATGATTTGTTTTTTACATCGTTCCTCCCTGTCGCGCCCCGAGGCTGGTCGGAAGAGCGGCTTGGGCGTTTCGCCTGAGACTTTCTCACCGTTTTTGACCATGGAGCTTAACAGTTGGCAACAGTCTCACATATGGAGGGCGGGTGATTTTTCAAAGGTTGCTTTCGCCTTAGCGCCGCGCACATGCGTTTTAAACTTTGGCTAGGGTTTCACGGATTGAGGGCTGGTGGTTTTCAAACTGTGGTTCTCGCCTTAGCGCCGCGCGCATTCGTCTTAAGAAATTGCAGGAGGTTCACGGATTGAAGGCGGGTGGTTTTGAAAACGTGGCTCTCGCCTGAGCGCCGCGCGCATTCGTATTAAACGCTTGTAAGAGTTTTGCGACATGAAGGCGGGTGGTTTTCAAAATCTTGCTCTCGCCTTGGCGCCGCGCATATTGGGCTTACACCGTTGCAATCGTTTAGCATATTGAGGGCGGTTCCTTTTCAAAATGTGGGTTTCGCATCAGCGCCGTGCACATTCGCTTTAAATTCGTTGCAAGAGTTTCGCGGACTCCCAGGGTGAACGTACCAGAATTTTTTTTTTGAGCAGTTCACGACTGTCAGTGCGCAACCGTTGCGCTGATTCGCGGCGTTGAAGTCCGAGGGGTGGTGTTCTGGCTCGATTCAGGATCGAGGGCGGGTCGTTTAATACGTGGCTCCTTTCTTAGCTCCGCGCACATTCGTTTTCAGAGTTTGCAAGAGTTTCATGTATTGAACGCGGTTCATTTTCTCAATGTGGCTCTTGCCTTAGCGCCGCTCGCATTCGTTTCAAACCGATACAAGGGTTGTTATTGCTTCTCAGGGCTAACGTACCACAATTTTTTCCCCTGGCACAAGAATTGTCAGGGCGCGACAGTTTAGTTGATTCGCGGTTTTGAAGTCCCAGGAATGGTGTTCTGGCTCCATTCAGGATCGTACAGACGCAACAGTCAGGTTGGGTAGCGGCGTTGAAGTTCCGAGACTGGTGTTTTGGTGCGCTTCAGGATCTTCAGACGATTGTCTCCAAACCACTTTCTCGTAGGGGCTTATGGAAAAAATAGGTGCTCGGGGGGGAGGGTTGATTCCAGCATAGTTGATGACTTGGGTTTGCAGTGGTCCTCTTTCTCCTCCTCCTCCTCCTCCTCCTCCTTCTCTCTTCCTCCTCCTCCTCCTCCTCCTACTTCTCTCCTCCTCCTCCTCCTCCTCCTCTCCTCCTCCTCCTCCTTCTCCTGCTCCTCCTCCTCCTCCTCCTCCTCTCTTCTCCTCCTGCTTCTCTCCTCCTCCTCCTCCTCCTCCTCCTCCTCCCTCCTCTCTTCTCCTCCTGCTTCTCTCCTCCTCCTCCTCCTTTCTCTTCCTCTTCCTCTCCTCCTCATCCTCCTCCTCCTCCTCTCCTCCTCCTTCCCCTCCCCCTCCTCCTCCTCCCTCCTTCTCTCCTCCTCCTCCTCCTCCTCCTCCTCCTCCTCCTTCTCTCTTCTCCTCCTGCTTCTCTCCTCCTCCTCCTCCTCCTCCTCCTCCTTTTTTTCCTTTTCCTCCTCCTCTTTTTTTTTTTTTGTTGTTTTTGTTTTTTCTCCTTCTCCTCCTTTGGGGTGCAGGGCTTCAAGCGTTGGACGCGTGCGGAGCAGGCGAGGGCCTGGCGCTTCCCGCGGCTCGCGCGCCGCTTGGGTGCACTTCTTCCCGCGTCTGCCGGCGGGGGCGGTGTCCTGCAGCATCGGGAGCCTTGAGACGGGGGTCAAGGCAAACGGGGGGTCAGCCAGAGCGCTGGATCTTGCAGGATCCTGCAGGGCCAGGGTCGGATTGACCCGGGTTTGGGTGCAGGATCCTGCAGGATTTTGCAGGATCCTTCGCATATACCCTGGTTTGGGTGCAGGATTTTGCAGGACCTTGCAGGATTTTGTGAGGCCTGACTGACCCGGGTCTGGATTGACCCGGGTGAGGAGATCCCCGAAGCAGGGCGAAGCCGTGGAGCCATTTGCGAGTTCCTCTTGGAGCCGTCGGGGGGTCTGAGGTGGCCCGGCACTGGCCTGGTCAGCAGGAAGGGCGGGCAGGGTCGAGGTGCTGGGTTCGGGGAGGTTTTTTGTGCCATTTTCGGCCTCTGTGGGCCATTTTCGGGCCCCGGGACCGTCGAAATCGGACCTGGGGTGAAAATTCTGTCCAGGAGTGGTCCGGGGACTGATTTTGAGCCGATTTGGCTTTATCCCACCCTCCTCACCGATTGTCTGTGGCCCCAATCAGCTCAGACCCCCTAGCCGCGTCCAGCTCCCCCTGCCCTGATCAGCCGGCGCGGTGTTCCACCCAGTTCTGCTCGCAACAGCGAGGCCAGGAGATCTCGTAGCTTTTTCACCAGTCCTCTTTTGGAGGGCCTGCGGACCTCTGCCCGCCTGCGCTCGCGCCCCTGGGCGACGGCAGCTGCGTTCGTGCGTTCGTGCGTACCTTCCTCTTGGCGCTGGAAAGGCGGCATGCGAGGTGGTGCCGCCGGCCCGCTTATATTTCACGCTGTCCCCCACCGTGAGGATAGCGCGCACCGAGGAGACACTGGCAGAGGGATAGCGGACAGCGTGCACAGGGGGGGGCCCTCGCGGTGGGATCGCCCCACAGGGATGGCGTGCCTTTGGGAGATCGATGCTGCACGCCATCTTTCTAGCGCCACCTGCACGGGCTCCGTGGGCACGACGGCATGCGGCCTGGAATCTTTCTGGCACACCCCTCACGCGGATTGTTTGGGCGTCGCGTAACGGGCGGGCGAGAAATCTGGGGGCAGCGAGGGCTGCAGAAAAGGGACCGACCCTTCAAGGCCCTTAGAAGGGGCCCTTTCCCCAAGGGGGGCCTCTGGGGCCTGAGGAGTGCACCTTTCTTCCCCCCTCATGGATCGGCCCCCACCCCCCCATGAAGCCACGCCCCAATCGTGGCCCCCATGGACAGGAGCCTCTTGGCTCGGCGTGTGCCCAGTGAGGCCCAGCCTGTGGCTTCGCCTTCGCCCGGCCGCGCTGCTCCTCTGCAGTGGTCCGCCTCCCTCCTCCCTTGGTTCGGCCTCGAGGAGGGCCTCCCGTGCCTCCCTCCTCCCTCGAGGAGGGCCTCCGCCCTTGGTCCGTCCTGGGGCCGCCCTCGGGAGGGCCGGCACAGGCCCGTGCCTGCGGGGCCCGCGCGCGCTCTCGAGCTCGGGTGCGGGCCCCCCGCCGGCAGGCGTCAGGCCGCTCTCGCTACGGCAGCGGAGAGGGGGCGCTCTTCACGCAGGCCCCCCTCTGCTCGCCATGATCTGGGCCTCCCAGGTGGGGCCCGAGCAGACGGGGTCAGAGGATCGCGCCGCATCGCCGATGCATCGGCGATGCATCAGAGATGCGGCTCGATGTGGGGCCCGATTTTCTCCACGCGGACGTTGCTGATGCATCGCCGGCGTCGCCAATGCATCGCCGACGTATCGCCGATGAATCGGCGATGCGGCGCGATCCTCCGACCCCATTTACTTGGACCCCACCTAGAGGCCTCTACCTTGCTCGCCAGGTGGGGAGCGGGTCCTGAGGGGAACGGGCCCAGAGTTTTTTTTGCCGTCTTCCCTCCTCCTCCCCCTCCTCCTCCTCCTCCTCCTCCTCCTCCTCCTCCCTCCTCTCCCCTCCTCCTCCTCCCCCTCCTCCACCTCCTCCTCCTCCCAGGGCCCACCGCGGACCCCAGACCTGGCAGAACACGACTCCTGGTGGAAAGCTCGCCCCGGGGGGAAGGCCCAAGGATCCAGGGCACGTCTCCCTCCGGTTGGGAGCCCCTAGGCCAGGTTGTGAGATATCAGGTGGTGGCTTGGAATCCCCCAAGAAGTCACTGCCAGATTGTGGAACACGGGGTCGCCGCCAGGTTTTGTGGCTCCTGGGCCCACCAGCGTTCGCGACATCCTCGAAAAGCCCCACGAGACCCCAAACCGGGCGGTGACACCAAATCGCCCGAGACTCACCGCCCGCCGGGTGTTGTCACCACCACGTTTGGGGACCACCAATCAGGACCCGTTTCCCCCTTGCTACCCTTTGCGTCCTCGTGTGGTCGGCCTGGTGCTCTCCCGCCGCGCCGCTGCGGCCTCGACGACGCCAAGCGTGCACCAGACCACTTTGATGCACGCTGCCAGGCGTGCCGGCACGCGCCTCGGCGTGCATCGAGCTGGTCTGGTGAATGGTCGGCGTCGTCCGAGCGGTTGTTGCAGCACGGGCGTTCAAGGGTCTTGAGACTCTGTCTTGCGTCCTTGCTTCGGCGTGTGAATGCGCCCCCGGCTCTCCCTGACCCCCAAGGAGGTGACCAAAGGGCTCATCCTGGACGACCCATCCCGGCGTCTGACGCTGGAGGAGATGCTAGAGTCGGAGTGGCTGTCCAGGAGCGCGGCCGATTTCGAGACGCCCCAGAAGGACGAGGCCCAGTGGCTGGTGATTCCGCACACCTCCCCCGAGCCTTCGAAGTGGCTGGCGCCGTACCTGGGCGGCTCTCGGCCACTTACGATATCCAGCTTTATTGGCTCGCAGCAGGTCCACCTCTTCAACCAGAGGCTCGCAGACCTTGACCTTCACGCCCTGACGGCCGTCCTGCTCGTGAGGCAACCGGGCACGGAGGATACGTTCGTGAATCCGAACGAAGACATCACGCTGACGGAAGGCATGCACGTCTACCTTGGCATTCCCGCCGATTCGCAGGACACGGACGCGGCAGTGGAGGCGGCGCAACAGCTGTTCACGGCCCCCCAGATGAAATCCCAGAGTCGTGGAGGCCGCAGCTCTTTCAAGAGCGCAGTTGTCAAGTACGATCTTCACGACGTGACCACGGCGTATACCCCCTCCAACAAGCGCGGGGTTGCCGAAACGGGCGCCATGTATTCTTTTGCCATGGAGTTCGACAGCTTCAGGTTCCCGCAGCACATAGGCCACGAGGCCACCATTGGGAAGGAGGCTCTGCCAGGCCCCAGGCGGGAGTTCAACGACGTCGGGCATATTGCCTTAGACCTGAAGGACACCTTCCACATCAACCTGGTCGGCATACAGCGCGTGGGCGAGGACAGCGCGGAGTGGTTCCCCGACCCGATCTCCCTGGTGAGGCCGGGCGATCTGGGCATAGTGGCAAGGTGTCCTATGCGGGACGGTGGAAGCAAGCCTTCCGTCGAGGAGGAGACGCTCGCGAGGCTCATGGTCGAGGAGCGCTTCAACGACGCCATCCTGGCTCGTCGAGACCCCGCGCGTGCGCCCGTCGAGGTGGGCATCGCAAGGAAGGAGAGCTTTACCCACGCGCGCCTGTACAGAAAGCCCTGGGACGGGCAGGAGGGGGTGAACGGCGGGATCGTCAAGCGGGGTATCGGTCGGACCAGGGTATACGATCGAGGTCGGTTCGGGCATGGTACCCTCAGGTTCTTCGTGCTCGCTGGAGGTTCTTGTGCGCCCTGGGGGAGGGTATGCCCTTTCATGTTCTGAGTGTTTTGGCCGAATGGGGAGGAGGAGGAGGAGGAGGAGGAGGAGGAGGAGGAGGAGGAGGAGGAGGAGGAGGAGGGCGATCTGGGTAGGACCAGCCGCCTGCTGCCGTTGGGGGGCGCCCGCTGTGCACTCGCACCGACTCCCTGGCCGGGCCGATCCTGGGCACTCGATCGGTGCATACGCCTCTGCGGCAGGGCTGATTTCGATTCCTACGATTCGATTCGATTCGATTTCGATGGCTTCTGATTCCGATTCGATCCGACGTCGGATTCCGATTTAGGCTCCGATTCCTCAGTGGAGGCCTACTAGCCTGCCGATTTTCTGCCGATTCGACTTCTCCCGACTCGGCTGCCGATTCCCGCCGATCCGATTCATGTCGATCGCCGATGCGACTTGTCGATTCGATTCTGGGCCCTCCTCCCTGGCCAACCCGAGAGGGCGTACACCGACCCTGGGCCTGGGGTCGGCCCGGCCAGTATCGGTGCTGGCGTATACCCAGGCCCCCTCGCGTTGTGAACAAATTATGACGGGAGTTTTTTTTGTTATTTTCGGCCTCCGGGGGCCCATTCCGGGCCTCGGGGCCGTCAAAAAACGACTCAGGATGAAGAACCGTTCCCGGGAAACGGGTCCAGACCTCTGGGGCCCTGGGGGTCGACGTTGTGACATAAACACGGTGTCGGGGGTTTGGATACCCACATCTCCGACGATGTGGTCTGTCTCACTCCCAGCGGTTTTCCTTGGTTTCGGCTGCTCGAGGCCGGCTCGGGTCCAAGGACCAGAAGAAGTTGACGCAGGGGATCGGCCTGGCCAGGATCGGCGCAGGCGAATACCCAGGAAGTCCGACGATGTGTTTTTTTCAATGCGCGGCGCCCCAGAGGTCAGCTTTCCAGTCTGGGTCAATTTCTTCTGGTCCCTGAACCCGAGCCGGTCCCGAGAGGCCGAAAGAGAGGAAAACTTCCGGGAATGAAACGGACCACATCGTCGGGGATTTGGGCTTGGAGCCCTCTGCCCGTCAGGAGGAGGAGGAGGAACAGGAGGAGGAGGAGAAGGAGGAGGTGTACACGGTCATCGTGCTGCCAGCTCGAGGGAGCGGCCCGAGAATTGGAGAGCCGCTCCTGAGCCCTAAGTGTTCCCTTGTTTTGGTGTCTTTGCTGCAGTTGGTACCCTCCCACGCCTCGAGTAGGGGATCGACCACATGTGATAGATGGGCACATTCGTTAAATATAGGTTCAGCACTTAGAGGGCGAGTCTAGTTCTGACCGTGATTCGCCCTGTGGCTCAAGGGATAAACATCTGCCTTCTCCTCCTGCTGCCACAGTTGGTAGCGGAGCGCGGTCTCGGCAGGTGGCCATGGGCAGCGGCGGGCAGCCTTGATCGGTGCGCCCGGCCTTTGCTCGCGAGCCACTGCCGCGGCTGCGCTCAGCGCACTGGGAAGTGTGGGGATCCACGGCGATGCCCGACGACGGAGTGACGGGCGAAAAAGGCACCACCCCTGGCGACGGTGAGCGAGGCGGCGGGAGCGCAGACAGCGCGGCGTCTCCAGGGCCGACGTCAGGAGTGACCCCTGAGCTCTTGGAGCTGGTGAAGAAGTTAGTCGCCACGACTATGAGGGAAAGCCAGTCCCAGGAGTCTCAGGCAGCAGGACGGCAGACATGGAGCGGCTGGAACGAGCCCAGCGTCGACCCGTGGTCCACTCAGGACCCATGGTCGCAGGCCCGGCCAGGCTGCGGGACCCAGGAGTCTCAGGCAGCTGGCTCGGCAGGCGACGGCTCGAACCAGCAGCAGGATCAAAAGAACGGCGAGGCAGCTCGGCGCTGGAGCGGCGAGTGGGCTGCGGGCAGCCAGAGCGCCGGCGGCTGGGGTGCCGGCGACTGGCGAGCAGCCGACCAGAGCTGGCCAGGCCAGCAGTGGAGTGGCGGCGGATGGCAGCGCGGTGACTACTCGGACCCGCCCGCCTTCCCGGGCTGGGCGCACTACCGAGGGTGGCGCAAGGCCGTCCGCCGCTGGGACAAGAACACCGACGTCGCGGTCTGGCGCCGGGCCGAGCGCTTCCTCAAGCTATTCGAGTGGACAATGCAGTCCAAGTTCGACGACGTTCCCGAGGCGGATCTCTCGGGTCCGGGCTGGCTGGACATCCTCATAGGGCGCATGGACATCATGTGACATCATGGCCGGGGAACGTGAAGGAGATGATCTCCGTCGCGCCGGAAGGAAGGCCCTCTTCGAGGCCACCCGCGAGGCCAAGGAGACTCTCACGGCCTACGTGTGCCGGCGCGAGGCCCAGCTGCTGGAGGCAGAGGGGCACGACCTTTGGATGTCACCTAAGCTCAAAGGACTATTTCTAGAAGAAGGTGCAGCGCTCTCAGCTCAGGGCGCCCAGAACCTTCGTACACTTACGCAAGGACGACTGGACTACGACAACGTGGCGTGGGCACTGAGACAGATGGACGCCTACGGATCGGAACGGCTGCTACCAGGGGCTCGCGGAGCGGAGCGAGCGCCAACCTGGCTTCCAGTACTGAGGGCTTCGGCCCGGGCGCTGACGTAGGACCCAGTGGCTGTGCAGCTCACTCCTTCCCTTCCGCTCCGGTCGACGGTGGTGAGGGTGGTTAGTGAGGGTGGTTACGACCAGGAGTCCGACGGCGAGATTGAGTCCTACGACTACTACGACGAGGACGAGGGATACGACGAGGACCTCGACGAGGCGGCACTTCTGGCCGAGATAGACGATCTCAACCTCGCGGAGGACCAGGTCGACGACGCCCTGGTCATGCTCACCAACGACTGGTCTTGGAAGCAGAATAAGGAGCTCAAGAGGGCCGCCAAGCGCGACAGGGAGTACTTCGGAGGCAAAGCCGGCGGCGATCGTGTCCAGCCTCCACCTCGGGCTCATCCTGCCGGGCGAGGCCGGAAAGGAGACCGAGGACGAGGAAAGGGACAAGGTCGCGGCCGCGGGTTCAAGCCGAAGTTGTCGCTTCAGCAGCTGATGAGGGTCACGAAGTGCAAGAATTGCGACAAGAAGGGCCGCTGGAGCAGGGAGTGCCCGGAACCCCCCAGGGACCGGACGAGTGCCCCCTCGGGGCGCAAGGTGCTCAACGGCTACTCGTTCGAGGGGTGCACGACCGACTCCAACGACTGGTGCAGCCTGTCCTGTCCCAGCTGGGAGGGGGCCGAGGCTGAGCTCGGCTCCAACGACGTCTACCTGGTCGCCAGGTCAACGCAGGGGCTTGTAGACCCTGGTGCCGGCGGCGACCTTGTCGGACTGGAGGCGCTGAATCGAGAGTCACAGGCCCTGGCTAGTCTCGGGATGTGCTTTGAAGTCATTCCCAGGCAGCATCGCAAGCCTAGGGCGGCGCGCGGAGTGGGAGGTGCCGCCACTGTGCTTGCCTCGATCCTTTTTCCGATGTGCTTAGGAGGAGCTTTCGGTATCGTTGAGACCACGGTGCTCGAGGACAATGTTCCTCACATTCTCAGCGTCAATTTGCTCGAGTTCTTGGGTGCAGTGATTGACTTGCCGAAGAATGAGATGAGTTTGGACACCCCAGAGCCCAAGGTCACTTTGACTCGTCTGGGGTCCGGGCACCGCATGGCCGAGATAGTACGTGCAGTCTCGGGGCCGTGGGAGGTCCCAGCCTCGGCCCTGAACAAGTACCCGTTTCTGTCACCTTCATCTTTTCAGCTTGGAGACCGGCAGGCACCGAAGATGCTGGCAGACGGATCAGTGCAGCAGTACATCATCCTTCTCGTCATCATCTTAGCAAGGCACCCAGGACGTTTCAGGAGATCAAGGGCCACAGGACCAGAGCGAGCCAGGACTTCGGGAACTTTCAGAAGATCGTAGGGGCGTTCCTGGCCACGGGGTTCCTGGGGATCTACATGGTGGTCGCCCGGGTCGTTGAGAGGATCAGGGATCACTTCCAGCCGCGGGCTCAGCGAGCTTGTTCAGACCAGGTCCCGGGGGGTCTCAGACAAGCTAAGTTGAATGGGGGCCGAGGACTACGACACCAGGGGAGGGGGCCTCGGAGCTCTCGAAGCCATCCAAAGCAAGAGGTCCGTAGCTACTTTAGGCTCAAGCCTGCGCGATCAGCTTTCAGCACTTTGCCTCCGAGCCCGGAGGCTTTCTTCACAGTCAGCAGCGGCACTCAGCAGCCATGGGGATGGCGCTGGTGATGAAGACCTTGGTCCTCCTCTGGATGTCGACCAGGGCGGCCGCCGGAAAGAAGGAGCCAGGAGCGAAACAGGCTACCGAGGAGTTCCTCGCACGCCGCAACGTGGCACTCGCGGGCATCAGCTCGGACAGCGATCAGCCAGCAGATCAGGGCATGCCGCGGCCGCTTCCGCCGCCTGGACCATCCACCCAGGGGCCACTTGGACCGCAGGGCCAGTTCCAGGGTCCGGTGTTGTGGAATGCCGCAGCAGCGGCAGCCCAGTGGCCGCCTGCACCTCCAGCGGTGCCGCCAACGGCACCAGTGGCACCGACGATGACGCCGGGCACGGCGGCGGCAGTCGGCAACCCGAGCCGAGACATCACCGAGCAGCCACCTCCCCCACCGCCGATAGCAGGAGCCCCAGCCGCTCCGATGACGGTGGACGGAGGGGCGGCCGCAGCCTCGGCATTATCGACTCAGACCGGGCAGCTCACAGGTCCAGCAGCAGGCAAGCCACCTCCCAAGCCGTTTCCCAAGGTGAGTCCGAACGAGTGTCTTCACCCTCCCAGCGAGGTGCGCTACTACGGGAACCAGCACGGGAGTGGGAGCAAGTGCACTCGCTGCGGAGAGCGTCTGACGTGGATTCAGGCGGGGATCGGGCCAGCTGCACCACCAGCACAGCCTTCAGCGGCGCAAGCAGCCCGGGCGGCAGCGTCCTCGGCGGCGCGCGCAGTGGAGATACTCCAGAACGACCTGGCGTTCCAGGCAGGCGGAGCGGCACTAACGACGGTCAACAGCCTGAGCACGTTGATGCAGAGCCTGCAGTGGCAGCTGGGGGCACTACCAGAGGGG